AATTGGTTGTTGCTGTTGCTGTTGTGCTGTTGTTGCTGTTATTCTTGTTGAAAATTGGTTGTTGTTGCTGTTGCTGTTGTGTTTTTCAATGTTCGGTTCTTTAAAGTTGATTCGTGCAGTCTCATATTGGTCGCATGTGCATTGCATTCCAGGTTTCTGTTTCTATGTATCGCTGGTTTTTATTCTCGGCTGACGTACCAAAAACTTTGAATAAAGTTGAGGAAATAGCTGATAATACAATTTAGATAAATAATTATTTCAATAAGTAAAATGAATGAAAAGTTTAGCAGAAATATAGGTAAAAACAACGACAAGAGGTTTGCAATAATAGTTTGGAAAAGAGTTGAATACATAAGCAACATCAAGCAATGATGATGTGTCGAAATAGGAAAGGTAAAATGCTAAAAATTGCAGAGTAAAAATGAAGAAACAGAACGAAAGTGAAATGGCGAAAGAGAGAGAAAGAGGAAGGGAAAAAAAAGAAAGAGAGAGAAAAAGAGAGAGAGATTGATGAAATAATTTTTAATTACACAATCCAGTGAACAGCTGACGTGTTGATAATTAACTTGTCCGAATGGTTAGCATTGAACGAGATGCACAGCGAACTTGGAAGAGAATTTAATAAATCCTGGAAGGAACGAACGACACACAACATACAAATCAAGCGACATTTTCTCTTATCAAACAGTTCATAATTTTAATCTATTTTAAAGTTTTTTTTAAACATTCTGTTTTAATTTAAAAAGTCTTATTGTGAGATTAGTTTTAAAAGTTTTTACAAAGCGCTATGTAATGATACCCTTGATTGATGCGATATAAAACGTTATCCGGATGAATTGTTTCAAATTCGACATGATTGATAAACTTTTTCGGAGGCAGGTTCACGCAACAATTACGTCATCAAGCAGTAATTACGTCATACACTCATTCCCTGCGTTTGGCAGAGTTTGATTTAAAGGATAATAACAAAAATTTATTCATCATCTATAAAAAAATTTGATTGAATTGAATAAGTTGACGATGATGGTTGAGTGCTAAGTCTGGTATCTAATGGAAAAACGTTCGCTAAGTTTCGATGCTTTTAACAACTCCATTCACAAGCTTCTTTTCAGAGTCAATTTAATCTCTTCCATAACTTTCATAATTTTCTCGCGTTTTTTAATTTTCATTTCAGCGCCTACTTTTGCATCAATTTTTTTGTTTCTGAATTTTTTTTTCTCTATCTTTCTCTCTCTTCTTTTTTTTTCTCTTTTTTCCTCTTTCTTTCTCTCTCTTTCTCTTCACTTAGATTTCTTAAATTTCGAGTGCCAACAAATTTTATAGAAAATGTTATCCACGTGTGAATGAGACATTTAAAAAAATCCAAACATCATTTCACCGTACCATCTTGATTGTCATCATGAACGTAGTCACTGCCATTATATCATCATCACGACATCAACAAAACCCTGTAACACTCTTAAAACGCAGACAAAAAATAACTTCTTTTTTTATGTTGTTTTTTCATTCCTTCACTACCTCCCACTCACACCTTCTCTCCATCCTGGACACTGTCCAGCGTCAACTTAACTGGCACTTACATTTCACTATTCACATTTTTTTCATTGCCTACTACTCACCGCGATTGCTTTTACTCTATTTGTTTTTTCATTTTATTTATTTTTTATTATTTTTTCATATTTTTTAACTTCAAATAAAATGTAAACCATGTAAAATGTAAAGCGGTTTTATTTATTTTGAAAAATTACTAAAAAAATAATGAGAAAAAACTATAAACCCGGATGAGAATTAAAATGAAAAAACTAAACAGCAGAATTTTTGAGATAAAACCAGAAAAACAAATATTAAAACACACCAAAAAAAACACACATAGACACACACCCAGACACGCATACACAAACTCACAAAGACAAACACACACACACATATATACAGACAGACACACACACCCAGACACACACACACAAACACATGAACACACAGACCGATACACCCACGGACACGCAAGCACAGACAAACACCAAAAGCATCACAACTCAATCATTATTGCTTCATCATAATTTATGGCCGTCAATATAAATATTGTTGGCGTCATTATTTATGAGATGTTAGTTGAGTTATTGATTGGGAATGACAAATGACTCTTATGAAATTTATCTCAACAAAGAAGATGAATAATCTTCTATTTTTAAATTTTTATTTTTAAATAAAATGTTGGATATTCGAGTTAAGCCAAATAAATTTAAAATAAATGTTTTTACTTGCTTTTGAATAAAAAAAAATTGTGTTTGAAAAAATAGATTAAAATTTCAATTTTCATTTGAAACAAAACACACATACACACACATAAACATACACGTCATTTGATTATATACAATTTACATACATACATTAATAAACAAACGTGTGTTTACTCAAACAAACAGACAATCCAACACTGTATAATAACACAAAGCCTACCCTATATAACAACATTTCAATAAAACCAATGAAAAGAAAATAGTTAAAAAGATACGGTTCCTTTGTTATAACTACGATGAATTTGGTACACGCACACACTCACATCCACACACATACACATACAAACAAACAAAACAAACAAACGATCAAGTGTACAAAACAAACAGTTATAGAAACGTACCAATGAAAAACATTTGCCCATAAGTTGATGCTAAAATCTTCCAAAATGAAGTTATAATAACATGTAACGGATCTTCTACAACAGGGGTGGGCAAACATTTTGCTGTGAGGGCCGCATTGAGAACTATTTTACCTTTGAAGGGCCGTATATCTACTTTAATAACAAATTTTTTCGATCCGGGGAGAATTTTTTTAAGATTTGTAATTCCTTTTTTGTGATAATGTCTGATGCCCACCCTGCCAACCCATGTTGTTCTACATAATACGAAATCATGGAACTGAGATTCATTTCACATTTGAAGGCACATACGTTCATTCATACATGCATGTATCGGAAACTCGCTCTCCTATATCAGATGTTAAGAAAATAATTTTTCAATAAGAGCACTTTAATTAAGTTGATAATATACGTATATCATTATTATTATTATTATAAGTTTTTATTATTATTAGTATTATTATTATTGTTATTATTTTTAACATAGCTTTAGCTTTTTTCCATTTTTCATTTATTTATTTTGTCTACTTACCTGCCTTGGATCTTAAAGAGCGCCTAGAAGTATCAATTTGCTAAGTGAACAAATACCTCTGTGTATTTCATCTCTCTCTTTCTCTCTTTTTTTCTGTATATCATATCTCTCTGTTTATATCATCTTTTTCTCTTTTTTTCTCTCTCTCTCTCTTTCTCTCTCTCTCGCTCTCTCTCTCTCTCTCTCTCTATAATAACGTTAATTCAAAATTGATTTTCTCACCTTGCAAATTTAATTTGGTGCAAGATTATTTATATAACTAAAGTGCCAACAATAATAAAAATAACTTTCAGTATATCTATTTAAACAAAAGTACAAGGGTACTTAAACGTAAGTACAGGCGCATTCAAGTTTGGGTACATTCATTCATTCATCATTCATTCATATAGTAGGATATATATGGATAGATAGGAGGAGGATTTAATATAGTACACACTCAGGTTGGAACATTACGATGTTATGGCTTGCATGTGTTGGTGTTTGTATTTTATTGCAAATAAGATGTAGAGAGGTTTGTACCGTTTATTAGGGGATATTTTGAAATCGTTATCTCATAAATAAGAGCATTTATAAAATTGGTTCATATTTAATTTGAAAAATCAGTTTTTTTTAAATAAATCGATTTGAAAATTTTACAAATTAAAATTTTTATAGCTCAAAATTCAAAATTAATCTTCTTAACTGTTAAAAATTGTTATGTTCGACCAAAAAACCTTGAAAACCATTCCGAATTAATATGTCCAACAAGCGGCATGTTAGAATGACGAGAAATTAGATTGGAATTTTAATTGTATGGAACTCGCAGTTAGACAACTTTAAACGATATTCCTATTTTCTCGAAAGAAACGCGTTCACATTTGAGACAAACGCATCCGCATAAAATCCCATCTGTGCGTATCTGTGCGTACGTCTGGGTATGTCTCTCTCTGTGTGTGTGTGCTTGTGTGTGTGCTTGTCAATGTTGATGATAGATATTGTTAGCTGACAAAGAAGCCAAGAGATGAAAGAATAAAGATGATGCGTTTTGTGTTTGGCATTATTCCACGGAGGAAATCAATGTTTTATTTTCATTTTCTTAATACGGCAAGTCTTAAGGCAACAATTCTCAACTCACATTTTCATTAAAGAAGTAAGCAAAACATTGATTGGACTGACGTGATGTGGCCATGCTATTTCTGATGGTGTTGTTATTGTTGTTGTTACTGCAGAAGATGTTGTCTCATGTTTCTTTAGTTGTTGCTGGCCACAATGTTTTTCTTCTTGCTAGCTCAGATGGTAAGAGTGCAAAGTTTTCTTTCGTCGTTGTTATATCGCAGTGACCTGGTTTGAATACAATCTCTCCTTGGCTAAGAGACTCTTTCTAACAGCCCCCAAGCCATCATCATCTTCTTCTTCTTCGCCTTATTCTTCCAAATTTTTGTTATTATAACTATCGTTATCACAGATTGTGTGGCAGTAATCACTTTCGCCATCATCATCTGCGGTTACGAAGCATTTTTCTCATTACACATAATATCATTATTCATTGCATTCACCACTCTCATACACTGTCCAAATGCCTGTTTTATATTCATAGCTAGAAACAACAGCATCGTCGTCGTCGTCATCATCATCGTCGTTGTTCGTCATCTCCGTTTTCACCATAATTATCTATGTTTTTATTATAATCGTTATAATTTTAATTACATTGCTACAATTATAAATGATAGTTATCATCATGAACATAACCAGTTTCAAAATTATCATCATTATCTATGTCACCATTGCTATCATCGTCATCATCGTCGTCATCGTCGTCATCGTCATCATCATCATCATCATCGACAACAGATGATTTTCGCGTCACCAGAAAACCTTGAAGAATATTATTCTCAGAGAATTAGTCCGCTCGACGTTACTCACTACACTAATGACATCAACAACAACAACATCGACAACAACAACAACAACAACATCGACAAGTATATAAACTATAAAATCAACCCAAACAACAAGCACAACAACAACGTACAACAAAACAAAAAGATTAAACACAGCAACCACAACAGCCACATCAATCACATCAACAACAGCATTAACAGCAATGACGTCAACATCATGAATAACGATTACTCTTATAATTACATTCCTATAAACCATAAAAACAACAACAACAACAACAACAATAGTATCAGAAAAAATAACAACAAAATATTCAACATTGACAAACAAAACAAAGTCAGCAAAAATGGAAACAATAAACTCCACGAGAGCCCTTACAACTCCAGTCGCCCCATGAATAACAAAAATATCAACGACAACATCTACCACGACAACGACATCAATGACAACAACAACAACAACAGCAAAATTTACCAAAGATATAACACATCATCGACAACAATTCAAAACAACAACAACAACGAATATATCTTAATGGCTAAGAATCCAGTTGCTGTTAAAAGTGACTTCACTCGCAAACGCCCGATTAACAAAGTAAACTTCAAAAACCACAACATGACACAGCGACCACAACAACCACAACAGTCACAACAACTACAGCAGTTACAACTACTACAACAGCCACAACAACCGCATCAACACTTAATTGTTGGTTTAAACACTCCAGTGACTACAGAAACCCTCCACAAGTCGCGAATTAAAAATGATAAAACTGCGGTTATCAAAACCAACACTCAGTTGCTGCAGAGCGACAAAAAGAAATCACAGCACTACAACAACAACAACCGTCACATCAACAACAACAACCGTCACATTAACAACAACCGTCACATTAACAACAACCGTCACATTAACAACATCGACAGTAACAATGTTTTCTACAATAACAATGGCAGATACAACAGCACCAACATTAAAAAAGACGACCACTTCATTAACAAACGAACAGTCAACAACAATAACAACTACGTAAATAATGCTCACAGCAACATCAATAATAACAACAACTACATCGACAACAACGTAAATAACAACAATATCAACAAAAACATCAACAACAACGTAAATAACAACAATATCAACGACAACATCAACATGGAAAACAACAACAACAATAGCAACAATCGCAACATCAAGAAACGAACAGTCAACAACAGCTTCTTCAAAAAACCCGGCTTTTATAAAGGTGACAAAAATAGAAAAACAGAATTAGGAAACATGCACTTTGAAAAAATTGAAACTGATAAAAGTAGCAACAGTAGTAGTAGTAGTGGTAGTAGTAGTAGCAGCAACAGCAGCAGCAGTAGTAGTAGTAGTGGTAGTAGCAGTCGTAGTAGTAGAAGTACTAGTAGTAGCAGAAGTGGTGGCAGTAAAAGTAAAAAAAGTAAAAGTAGTCGGAGTAGTAGTAAACGAATGGATGATATTGATGATGTCGAAGAAGGTAGGAATGTGGTTCTTATAGACAATCAAATGGTACTCGACGCTAATCAAGAGAACATCTACTTGCTGACTGAGAGGCAGGTTTGTGGCGATGTCGTGGAAGCTGTTTTTTTGTGATGTGGCTGGTGCGGCTAGTGTGGCTAGTGTGGCGGGTGTGGCTAGTGTGGTGGGTGTGGCTAGTGTGGTTAGCAGTATCGTTGTGATTTTGATGTTGTGGTTGTTGTGGTTTCTAGCGATTCTTACGATCTTGTTGATTTTTTTTGCTGTTGAGTTTGATGTTATTGTTGCCTCTGATGTCGTTGCTAATGTTGTCTATGTTTCGGTAATTTGTCGACGATGTTGATATCATCATTGCAATTACGACAACATGCAACTGAAAGAAACTGTCTCTGCGATAGAAAGCAACCGTCTCTGCAACAGAAAGCAACTGCCTCTGCAACACCGAAAACGCAACTAAATATTTATTAAAGAACAACCTGAAAAGGGAGACGTTCTTACATATTTAACGCGCTTATAATGATTATTGTAGTGGTTTTTCTTACATTCGAAAATGCATGCATAATAAATTGCTGCTGGATTTTTCAAATAGCGACACACACACATACATGCACACACACGCACACATACACACACACACGCATATATACTGTCACAGACACACACGCACACACACACACACATATACGCGTCCGTGCATCAAAACGATAAATATTTAAACAGTTCATTTGGAAACGTTTAAGCAATACAAATGAACTATCCCTCAAACTGTTCTTTCAATTCTGAAATTCGTTTCTGGAAACTTTCTATAAATAATTCAATGTGTGCGTGTATGTGTGTTTGTATGTTAGTCTGCGTAGATATGTGTGTATGTCTGTGTGTGTGTCTTTGTGTGTGTCTTTGTGTGTTATGTGTTTGTGTGTGGCAAAATAAAAATATTAATTTTTAAATATTTATAAATAAATTTATAATTTGTTAAAAATTCAAAAATAAAGACGAAAACAGTAGAATCTCACATTGATAGGCGGATATTTGCGTGCATTTGAGTTGCGATCATCGTGGGACCGGCGTCAAAATGAACCTAGGTTATAAATTGACATGGGCTTCTTTTTTTATACGTGAGCCGTTATAAAGAGAGTTTCATAGAGACAGTATGTGTTTTATGTTGTGTGTAGTAAATATACTATACACACAAACATACATACATAGATAAAGAGATAGAGATTGAAAGAGAGAGAAAGAGAGAGAAAAGAAGAGAGGGAGAAAGAGAGAAAGTGTCTATGTTTGTGTATGTTTGTATGGGTGTGTCAGTAATTTAATTTTATTATGTTTGTTTGTGTTCGTGATTAGATCGTTTAGCATGAAAATAACATAACTAGAATGAATACTATGATGGTGATAAAGAAGCGGATGATGACGATGACGTTGATGGTGGTGGTGGTGATGATAACGATGATTAGGGTAGTGTTGATTTGATGTTTGTTTTCGTCAGACCACTGAAGGCAGTTCATCGCCTGGAACGTGACTGGAGTGCCAATTAAAGATGTGCACGTAGCCGCATTAGAGCGTGCCTCTGTCTGTGTTTGTCTGTGTGTGTCTGTTGGTGTCTGTGTCTGACTGCGTCTGTGTGTATATGTCTCGGTGTATGCTTGTGTCTGTGTTTGTCTGTGCCGGTGTATGTTTGAGTCTGTATTTTACTTTTATGAGAGAGAAAATAAAAATAGAGTGAAAGAAGGAGGAGGAGAGAGAGAGAGAGAGAGAAAGGAGAGTTAAATACAGAAAGAACATTTAACAATGTGAACCTCCATTTATGTGTTTGAATTGTTTGAAAATCTATAAGAAAATCTATAAAAATAGGGAACCTAATAGGTTCCCTATTTATGTGCTTTTGATAAATAAAGCTATACCTGAAATTTGTTATATTCAAAATTTTATACTCACATCTTTTCTTCAAAGACTACAAAATTTCTTTTCTAAATTTTTATTAAGAATATAAATTGGTTTTACTGGCAAAATAATAACTTTCTTTAAAACATTTTACAAATTAGAGTGCTGCATGATTGGTTATTCGTATTTCAAAAAAGAAGCTAAGATAATAATTTTGAGGTTCAAATTTTCTAAGTGCATTTAATGGCGAACGAACGGTTGAGAAATTTTTCCAAAAATTAATCATTTCTTTGAAAATCACAAAACCTTTTTTTTTATAATTTCAGAATTTAATTTTTTTATTATTGAATAATTTTGAAAAACGATCTTTACTTTAATGACTGAATGTTCAATTTTCAAATTTTGAAAAATATTTTTACCAGAAATAATTCTAATGGATGGTTACCGTCACCTCATCGTCATCATCTTCTTCATCTTCATCAACGTTATCATCATCATTATTATTATTTATTATCAGTCGCCATCGTTTAATATCATCTCCATGATTGATATCATCGTCCTTATTATCAGTAGCATTAGCATTATACCGTTAAATATCTACATAATCACCATCATCATAATATCATCCCCATCATCATATTATCCTCACCATCATCATATTATCCTCACCATCATCATATTATCCTCACCATCATCATATTATCCTCACCATCATCAATGTCTTTTGATATCTGATATCTCGTTACTTTGCTCTGATACAATAGAGATAGATCACACGGACCGACAACTCACTGAACCGACGATATTTACACCGATATCGAAACCGATAATGTCGGCACATCCATCAATCTATCGCATTTATCTCCGTGCGTGTGATTAGATTTACAATCAGATTGACACTCCTGTAATGGACTGTCAAAGACTAGGAATGTCGTAATAGTTGGGCGGCGCGGTTGTGTAATGGTTAAGGTACCTGGCGCTGATGTCGCAGTGACTGGATTCGATTACAAACAGACCCCCCCCCCCCTACCACATGCAATGTGTGTGATTCACGTGTACTTACATACGCTGTGTGTTTTTTTGTTGAATTTCGTTGGAGTAGATTAGATTTTTTAAGGTTTAAGTTTTTAGGTGACGTAGATAAGGATAAGATATGTCTGATTGGCTGGTTCATGCATTACCATCATAATTGACGTAATGGGCGTAAATTTTCGTCTCGTCATTGATGACGTCATCGTTCACACCACCATCTTCATCATCTTAAATGTTTTCATCACATTTGCGTCTTATTTGAGGAGAAACTAAATATGAGTTATATAAATATGTGTGGTATGTTTAAGTGTGTGTGCTTGTGTGTGCGTGTGTGTATGTGTGTTTGTGTGTGTCATCTTAATGTGTATCAAATAATAGTTTCGAAAATTTAAAAAAAGAATTCTTGTATGAAGAAAAATCAGCAAGACACGAAACTAATGTGAGAAAAATGTTTTTGCTTACGATATAAAGGTATTGAAAAAATGTGATATATATTAACGATCTAAAGAAGTTTAGATATGAATCAATTTTTAAAAACGTGTGTTTGTGTGAGTGCATTTGTGTGCGTGTGCGTGCTGTTTGTGTAGTTGAGTGTGTGTTTGTTTGTTTGTGTGCGTGCGTGTATGAGAGACAGACATATTAGATTGTAACTAAAAGCCATTTTGTTATGTTTCAAGCAACCAACAATAACATTTCCTTTCCTCTGTTTTTTGGTAGATTTTTAGGCGCTTTTTGTTATGAATATTCATTTGTCCATCCATTCGTTCAGTACATTCACTCATTCATTTTTGTATTCATTCATTCGTTCGTTCATCCGTCTTTGTTTGTCACAATCGTTTTCACTATCCATCCATCTATCCGTAGTCTCATTTATTTTTCATTTTATTTCTTTTCTCTTTACTCATTCATTTATTCACTCACTCACTCTCCTTAATTCATTTATTTGTTCATTCATTCGTTCATTCACTCACTCACTTATTCATTCATCCATTCATTCATTCATTTATTCGCTGATTAACTCGTTCTTTCATTCATTCAGTCACTCATACATCCATCTATTCATTTGCGATGAAAGCCGTATTAAGCTTGAATTAATTTTTCTTCTCTCTTTCTTTTTTTTTCTCTCTCTCTCTCTTTCTCTCTCTCTTTCTGGCAGGCAAACATTCTGATGGAAAAAAAATTTCCACCTATTATTATCTTCGTCAACCATTCAAACAAGAAATTTTTCCTTAAAAACAAAAGATGCTACAAACTTCGTTGGAAAAGGTTTCATGTATTTTTAATAAAATTTGGCTTAAGAAAAGTTCTGTTTTAAAAATGATGAAAAGATGTATTGTTCTTTGATAAAGTTAAGCTAAACAAATGTTGAAATACAGTAAATAGAGAAATTAATTTATCCAATCTTTCTTCATAGTATTTGCACAATTTTATTAATTTTGCTTTAAAAACATATAATTAATGTTGTTTAAATTTAAGGTTCCTTTCAGTTATTTAATGTTTGGACATCATGTTTTTTTTATTGTAAATCTTTACTAAAAAATATTTTCACATATTTTGATATTTACTCTTCTAACAGTTGTATGGCTGTCTTTCATGTAGTTAACAAAAACGAATCACTTTTACTTGCTAAGAAGCTTTAAGCTCGCTAATCTGTTGAGAGAGAAAAAAATTTTTTGAAAATATTTTTAAAGAATTCATATTTTTGAAAAGCTGTTTTACATGATTTATACAATTTTTTATAAATCCTCTAAAAATATTCATAATTTCTGAGAGAAATGATAATTTCTACACTTATTGACGAGTCTTACATTTTGTTTGAAACTGACATCATCGAAATAACAGAATCAATCAGGCTGCAAGTGTTTTAGCACGCAATCCTTCTCCAAAACTTTGATGTGTTTTGAAAAGCTTCAAGTGCCTGCAGTAATTAAGTGTGTGTGCGAGAGAGAGAGAGAGAGAGAGAGAGAGAGAGAGAGAGAAAGAGAGAGAGAGTAGCGTTGAAAAGAACTTACGTAACGAACTCAAATTTTCAAAAAAATAATTTCGCAAACAAAACACAAGATGACGTCATATCTACATTATAAGTTTCAATGGCTGCAATATTCAATACCTTCTGGCGTTTTTTATTTCTAGGACCGGTTTTAAAACCCTGGGACCTAAACTTCTACTACTACTACTGCATTTACTACTACTACTACAACTACTGCTACTACTACTACTACAACTTGCTAGTAAGAAAATCAATAATTTATGAAAATAAGGAACCATAATGATAATAATAATAATGTAAATAATAATAATAATATTAATAATAACATCTATTTGTTTTCATCTCGGGGCTGGCCGGAGCAATAACTCAAACATTAATGATGCTTTATCGCTGAGTTGGTCGTCATAACGACTGTTTCCTCTTCATTTTCACCAGGCAAGAATTTTCTCGTACTGGAGTATGGTGTGGAAGGGATGATTAATGCAGATGACGAAATGAATCAAATCTATACCTATATGTAATTATATATTTATATGTAGAAACACCCACACACACCACACACACACACACACTACACCTATACATGCACACACACGCGCG